AAAATGCAAACAAAGAAACCAGAAACTGTAAGGGACCGCATACGATAAACGCTGCCAACGTAGGATCTACAAGAGATCTGATCAGCCAAAAGAAAAATGTTGCGATCCTACTTTATCGGTTCTTGTCATGTTGGTGTCTCGAAACGTTTTTCACGTAGTATCAGTCTTGCAGTCTATTGTTTGTCTTCAAACAAAGAAATCATTACTCATGCACCAGTCGAGGCCTGAGACAAATCAAAACAATTAACTGAACAAAGATTTGATGATTCAGAACTGATGAAGTTCCTATTAGGGTTCTGGAAAACAACACACACACGGAAAGATTAGATGCAAAGTGTAGCTACCAACAAACTCAAGGTCACAATGAAATGACAAGGTCTCAGGTGCCCAGTGCAATGGTTTACCTTAAATTGTACACAAGGGAAAATGAAGAATTCTATCACCTAAATTATATCATCAGTATACTCAGACCACAAGATACCAGCAATGGGGTAAGCTATTCTCCATGTGACACTCAAAGCAAGGTTCCACCCTGTAGAATTCCATATTATTGAGCATATATACAGCCACGTCGATAATTGGTCTTCAAACATGGCATGAGTTTGAATCAGTTAGGGAAATTAGCACGACTGATACAGGGCAGTCGTTATGAGGCCTACCAAAGTGTTGTGTTAGCTTACATGAAGTATTGTTCTAGTTAGTTACGTGCGAGAGGCCTGTTGGTTATTAAGTAAACACGTGTTGTTCACTGAAGGCTATTAGGGACCTCAAGCACCGACGACGAATGGGACGACGACGACGAGTAAAACTGTTGTAGGACTGGGTCGAGGACGTCGTTCACGGAGTAAAAACCAAGTGCGAGTAAATGTAAACAGAGCTGTGTAAACATCTACCTAAAACTATCGAAAAATTTTGTCATGTCTTGCTTTCACGAACTCCAAGACCTGTTTCTCTTGAGCTACCGAAACGGTTCTAACGATGACAACAAATTTTCAGTCCTACATGAGGAATTGATGTCGAAAAATCCCGATTTCTCATACGAAGAACATAACAGGTTTTCACTCGCAGAGATGAATGATGCCCAACTGTTTTCGGCNTCTTGTCATGTTGGTGTCTCGAAACGTTTTTCACGTAGTATCAGTCTTGCAGTCTATTGTTTGTCTTCATTTATAGATCGACTGAACAATGCGTGTTTCACGTATGAAATGTATGACAATTACAAAAAACTAAGGCATGAAATGAATTTACCATCATTTACAAACTATAGAGACAAAGCGTATGACTTAGTTGATATATCGCTTTGGTGAAAGAAAAAATAAAGCTACATTTGGGAAACAGCTGTTTTGAAAAAAAATGTAATGTTCCGTGACGACTTTACTGCGTGTGTAAAATAATTCGATATGTTGTTTTGACCATGCATAAATTAAAACTTCGACTCGGTTATTTGAAAGAGCTTTATGTACGTTCCGAGATTCTTATATGAAAACTTCCTGAAAAAAAGTCGGCTGCTATGCCATTTGGGAATGAAGCGCTTCTAAGTCAGTTGTTTGTTGGTTTAAACACCGGTTCAAACATTTTAATATGACATGAAGGAACGCGCCGCGTCTGCAGTCTACCGCCGTGAAAAAGTACGTCTTTGTCTGCAATGTAACTATGAACAGCTGCGGCTAAATTTTATTACAATTAATGAGTTAAGTCTTGTTTTTTATGGATACGAAATTTCCAAGGGTTGGGGGGGGGGGGNGGGTAGGGGGAGCCCAAGTAGAAAAATCATGGAATTCCAGAGGGTCGGGGGAGTACCGTGATGCCCCCTAGAACGGAAAATCCTGGGGGTGGGGGGTCAAACTGGAAAAAACCCTCTGTGGGGAGGGGGTTATGGATAATTTCTGGAACCACACAATGTGCTATAAATTAGGAGAAGTTTTCAAGGGAAGGGTGAACCCACAATGTTTGTTTTTTTTTTCTTTTTTTTTTTTTACCCATGAAAGCACGAGATAAGAGAGAGGAGATATTCATTGATTAAATGTGCAGGCCAGAAGGGTTTGGCAGGAGAAAGAACGAGTTACAAAGAATGATACGCATTTGACCTGGAAGTTATCATCCGATATTGTTATAGTTTTGTGTTTTGATTGTCACGGTACGGTTTTGAGTGAGATGTTGTTAGCTGTCTCTGTTTTCCTCTTTGTGTTGCACTGAAGTTGATGAGATCTTTCAAATATACCGGATTCTGAAAGCACGAAACTGAGAGGCATCAATTGACCCTTGCCGACCTTATTAAAGCCCTTAACCTTGTCAACTCTATTAAACACTTTTCAAAGGCAAGCTTTTTTAACTCTGTTTAAAACACAACATTTGCGTAATCACAATTGGAGTAATCTAAGTATCTTAATTACAAAATAGTATCATAGTTATTTGGAGTGGTGTTCTTACCTTTAACTTAAATAATGTCTCAACAATATTTGTTTTGATATATCATGACAAGCGTTTTACCTCGAAGTTTGTTGAAACATATAAGCTGGTTATTCTGGAAGCCGATCACAAGTAATTTTAGATAGTGTTTGCGTTAAGAGCGTTTACGTTTAGTTGGGATGCGTGTCCGTTCATACATGCTCTAGTTCGCAGAAAATGACGATCAGATCATTGTCATCAACAATTGTAGGGTTTAGATCTTCCTCCACATCATTCGTTTGCCTTTTAAGTAATGGAATATACATATTGTAGCATATCATTTGTGTCAACTAAAGCATCACTTCATTCCACATTTTTTATTGTGTAACAACTTGTTTCAATTTGGCTCCGAGAATTGCAGCAAATTTTCCAAAATACGACATCGTTGCCTGTAATTGGCGCCACGCGCATCATCATTAGTCCGGAATTGATCCTTAAAACGCTATAAGCCATCCTTTGCATTCACGAAATGGTTATGAAAGCCGATCCTTGACCGGTGTTGTTCAACCGAGATTCGCATAATTATGTACTAACGTTTGATCTTGAAAAAAAAAAAGCAACCGAGCAGGGTGACTGTAAACAGCGTTCAAGTGTCAGTATTTCTAATAATGCAAGTACAATGCTAGTGTATGGCAGTCTTTTTCAGTTTCTGAGAGTTTCTGCAAAATGATATCTGACAATCCCTGACAATATATCTCACGTAGAAGTGCTGTCTACATTAATATGTTCAAGCCAAAGGTTGTTGAAGCCGATATAAATGTTGGCTAGCGAGATGTTGGCTTGCCAAAGTAAAATGACTCCTTTCGCTGTATAGGGCAATCCGCGCCGAACATTCAGGTCGATAAAAGTTAGCTTGCGAAAGCGTACCAGCCCCTGTGCAACCCGCATTAACCACAAGCCGAATCTTAATACGGTTGGTTTGTGTGAGCAAAATAACTCTCGATGTGGACACCTGAGGGAATAATGAAAGAAAGCTATCAATAAACAGTACAACTGTAATCAACATTTTCAAAGCCCACACGAAATTAGGAAGCTGGATTTTCGATAAATGAAAACAGACTTGCAATAAAGCACAAGCTTAAATACAAAATTATACGAAGAGAGATTTTCGATACATGCAAACAGATAACGCACCACATCTCAAAACAACCTACCTTGGCAACTGAAAGCTGGAGAACTGAAGATGAAGTCTCTTAAAGTGCCTATGAAGTAAAAAATAATTGCTGCTGATTTGAAAGGCTTTTCAAAGTAAAGAAGAATGGCGTTTTCCTTTTTGGAATATATTTT